TGAGCTGGAGAAAGTGGGGGGGGGGGGGGGGGGGTTATAGGTCTTATAAAAGCCATGAGCTGATATTAAATTATCTTAGATTCATTAGTTGAACAACATACTGTATATTGCTTTTACCTACAATTACTGATTTTCCACTTCCTTGTCCTCTTAGGCATTAGTGATGGAGCCTGTGTCTAAGCAATTCATCTTGGAAAGATTGCATCAGCAGAGCATAACTGGGAAATCTCATCTGTAAACTACAACATTTCACAAGATCTCAGGGAAAGGCATTTTTCCCTTGTGTATGGTCACATGTCCTAGTCACATGTGCCAGAGTTCCAGAAAGTAAAGGGAGATATATTATTAATGCCCTTAGTAAAAAATGTCCACTGTGAGAAGAATGGGGAAGAAAAGAAAAACGAGGTATGCAAAGAATAAAAAGCCGGCAATTATCTATCTGTATCTGTTTGCAGATTGTCATTATTAAACATTCCTAAAGGTGCCTTTGTTGTCATTTTAAAGGTATGGGTAAAGTTCCTCTTTAATGTATTACCTGATTTTATGTGAGGCAATACTAGGACCATATTAAAACCAGGTAAAGATGTGGTGTTTCCAGATTGATGTTACCCAACATCCTTGCTTTCAGTAGATGTAAAATTAATGGCAAGCATGTTAGCATGTAACGGTATTTGTACGGAATTACAAATTCTATGTATTATTGCCTAATTCTATGTATTGAATAATAAGACTATGCTCCTTAATTTTTTAATGTACTTTTATACATTTTCAAATACCTCCGTATAGTACTAGAACCAGAGTGTTATCACCTCTAGGCCTTTGATAATATTGAAGCCTATCTAAAATTTTATATCATGAACCCTGTATAAGAGTAAGAGTAAATAGCTGTAAACCCACTCAATTTATATAACAGTGTGGAAGTCATCAAGTATGCCCTTTATCTCCTCTATTATTTGCTATACCTACTAAACCACTGGCAGCTATGATTAAATATTCTTCTAATATGAATGGTTTTAAATGAGGTTCTATGGAGAAAGCATAGCTATGTATACAGATGATGTTCTTATTCCTAGGAGATACTGGTTATTCCTTAGTAATTCCGAGGGTGGAAATTGCATAATAACTACATAATTTATAATAATTACATAAATAACTGGAGTAAACTGGAGTAACTGGAGTAAATCTGACCATAGGTGGCTAAAAGTTTGGCCAATTCCTGCTAAATCCACTAAAATTTGAACTGTGAGTGGCCCTGCAATCAAAAAATTATTTGTTTGGGTATTAGGCAAGCCAAAGGTCTCAATATCAGCCCCTCAGAGATTGACTCAGAAATGTTTTGTCCATAGAACGTATAGAACTCCCCACTCATTCTACAGAGCAGGTGTTTGGGATAGTTCTATACTAGATGTGGTCAGGCACCGGGAGATTTTATTCATCTTATTTGGAGATGTCATGAGCTGGTACTGGAAATTGGATATTGATGTTGTTCACCATAGCAATGCTATTTTTAAAACAAGCATTGTTGGTATGTGCATTTTGGGGCATCTATATATTCCAGAAAACTAAGTCGATCAGAGAATGGGGCTAAGTAAAACATTGTTTCTTGCTAGGAAATTTATTGCACAAAAGTGGATTTTGCCCCATACACTGACAGTGAGGGAATGGATATCAGCAGATAATCTGAATTTGAAATTAGAGCAGATGTGTTTTCAGCATATGGGAGCTTCAAAATACATTTCAAAGGATTTGGGCTGAATTACTTCAGATACCTGATATGGTACCAAATTATTTCTCTGTTTTAAAGTATGGATTGTAGGGGAGTATATGTAGGTTTGGTTTATTATATAATTGATTGGTGAGAATGTAAAAGAAATTACAAGTGTTTTTGTTTTTTTCTCGGACCAGAGGTATAGGTTACAAAGAGTAATATGTGAATGTTTTGGTATTGGCACTGTTTGCTTTTTTTTCCTTTTCTTTTATTTGAGTATAGTTTGTCTTGTATTGAGATGTTATCTGATAATTCTTTTTTATCTGTGTCATACTTGTTTGTTGGAAAATTGTATAATAAGTAAAAAAATAAAATAAACTCTTGGTGACAGGGAAATAATTAGCTTAGCAAGATCTTGCAGTCAATGCTACTGAAAGGAAGGGACATAACCGGCACAAGGTAGCAATATGTCAGGATAACAATATATTAGTTAAAAGGAACCAATCAGGCCACATATGGAGAGGGTACCAGAGACTGGGTGAAGTAAAGGCACATGAGGAAATCAGTTGTCTAATACTTTTTCTTCCCCCTTTTCCTAGACTTATCCTTTTAACAATAATAATTCAGATGTCAAAGCCTATTGCTGATCTTAACATTTATAAGTATTCCAACATAAACTATTTTATCATAAGTTAGTTTTTAAAAGGCTCACATGCATCCTGTCTGCGTCCAAGCATGGACACCTGGACCTTCACAGATTTTTTTGTTGACTGTTTTTTTTTGTCTATGTTTGTACTAAGTATGTTTAAATTCACTTACTTTTGACAGACTCAAAACCTCTTCTGGAAGTCTGTTCCAAGCACCAACTACTCTTTCATTAAAATAATACTTTTAAAATAAAGTACAGATAACATTCTTTAACATCCCCCAGATATTCTCAATATGGTGTTAACAAGACATACCCAAAGAGCCACAGCAACATCCATAAATGAGAAAAAGGAAAGTAAATAAGGGGGTTCCAGTTGGCATAAGTCAGGGCATATGCAACCCGAGGAGTGTCTGTACTACACAAACTATATATTTTTTTAAAGAAAATGTCATGTTTTGCCGGGGTTGGAAGATTGGAAGATTAATATTGAATTTAGAAGACAGCCTCTCCAATTCAGGAGCCAGTAGAATTTTTTTTTTAGGCGCCAGCTCCATGGAAAACCTCAGAAGCTAGGGGCCAGCTGTGATTTTTAAGGAGCATTGGCTAGCTGGCTCCTGGGATTTGTCCAGCCCTGTGTATGCAAACTCCAGAACAGAAGAGCATAGCTGTTAATATGACCAGGCCCACATGCTCATCTTTAACACTCCTACTGACAGAGGGAACATCACTACCAAGGCTCTCATAGGCAGATTAGGTTTAAAAAGGCCTAACCTGTAATAATAATCAATGCAAGCAATCTATGCATCAACAATCTAGACAGGATGAAGGCAGAGGCGACAACCACAAAAAATAAACATTTAGAAAACGGAACAAGAAAACAGCGATGGCCTGAGCCAACATCCAAAGATAACACCATAATTAGCACTTACTTGTCCTCCAGACAAAACCGCTCCAAAAAGGTGTAATAGGCAACATTTTAAACTTTCTTTAAGATGTTCACTCTCTTGAAAACATTCTGTAACAGAGAAAGTTATAATACAAGTAAGAGTAATACAAGGAAGCCATGCTGATAGCAGTCAATATACAATGGTTGTACTTACGGTAAAAGAAAGGTATGAATTCCACTGTAAGGGGGGCAGCTTTGTACTTTTGTCTGCTCTTCTCCACTGGGCTAATTATTCTTCTATAAAACAAAGAGATTATCTTTACAGGACATTACATTCACAGGCTGACAAAAAAGGTGAAGACACAATGTTTAGCTGTGGCCATTGCATAGTGTATAGGTAAGACATACATATTAATGAGTGCTAAAACAGACCTATCATAATATAGACCTTGTTATATTTAGAGCATGTGTGCTAGGTAATGTGCGAGTACAATGACCTCCTAAAGATGCCATTGCAGTATCTCTATCTGTTTTTCTTTCCAAAATGACAGAGCCCTGATTGTTCAGGGATTATCAAGGGTCAACATCTACTTCATGGACTGAAATGCTGGCTCCTAGATACAGTCATGTGAATCCTGGTGCCTGTGCAGTTTTGGCTGTGTTTTCAAATGACTGACACAGACTTTCACCTTGTAAAGTCGGGTATACATGTATCAGATTTTGGCCAGTTCCCGATGAACCGGTGAAAATTCACACAGTGGGTGCCACTGTCAGCCCCCTGCCACCCAGCATCTCTTGATCAGCTGATCGAAGGAGCCGGTGGAAAATGTTTTGGCCGAACAGAGCTAGCAGCTAATCAGCTTCTAGCTCCATTCAGGCAGTCCGACACCGGCTGGCAGCCACTGTCAGAATACAATAAGAAAAAGTGAGGGACTCCTTGATAAACACTCGTAAGCGTTAATGGAGGAATCTGGTATATTTTCTTAATTTAGCCTGCAGGTTGAACAAAGAAAATATATTCAGGTATACCTGGCTTAACTTGCTACAAAGTTACAATGTAGTAGTCTGGAAAAGAGGAGACTGAGGAAATGCTTCCTCCTGTCGGCATCTGACTAATGACACTGTCAGCTAACAAAGTCACTTGCCTGGAGCTCCGGGACATCCTTTTAATGGTAAAAGTGTGTTTTTGGGTTTCAATTATACGTATTGTGACATGTCAGGAATTTATTGTTGCAGAATTGTAAAAGACTCAACGGTCTACTTTAAGAGGCAATTAAAACAGGATTACAATAAACCTTGTAAAAATGGAATAAGAAGTGCCACAAATGATTAAGCTATCACATAAGCTGAACAAGATTATTAAAACAGGTGTTTCAAAAAGGTTGTTTATAACATTATTATGAACGCTTTTAAGGAAATAGTCAAAGGTGCATCTAAACATGGCCACCAAAATGTCAGAATACATAAGTAGTAATCCTATAAACTGATATATTCCATAAAAACTTTTACACAAGTAGTCACAATACTTAACCAACCGTACTGAAAATTACACATCTCTAAGTGGCATATTTCAAGTGGCTAATTAAGATCAGTAAGTCTGGAATGTTATGTACATTCTTCAGGTAACATACCCTGACACAACATGTCGCCAATTTCGATATGGGTCATAGAGGCTTTCACAAAACACCAAAGCATGTCTCACAAATTCTTCAATAGGGGCTTGGTCTGTGACTTCTTTCTCTTTAGTTTTACTTTTCAACTGCAAACATAACAATATTAAACTGTTAGTAAACTGTAAGAACACAAAGCAGTTTTACAATCTCAGACACTGATTTCCCAGATGCCAAATTACAGCAGATTCCCATTCTTATTTTTCAAACAAGAAAGCAAAATCTGATTGATATAGACACCACTTTCAGATGTTACCCCCTGTGTAGAGGTAAAGAAAATATGCCTTCAGTATATACACATCTAGACATTTTAGGTACTGTATATTAAGGAGAGTCACTCACCTACACACAGGTATTGTCTATAGCAATTAAATTTTGCTTATTCATATTACAGGATTGTAAAAGGAAAATAAAGATGGCCGGAGTGTCAGAATTGCATTCATGGTCGGGCCATCTCACAATGTCTTTGGCCCATCTTATCCCCAAAAGAGAAAGCTCTAGTCACACAGACTGTTTCAGAGCTCTCCAATCTCAAAAAAAACAACAGCGATCAGGAAAGATTTCTAATGTGCCCAATCACTGTGTCCCATGAAAAAAGGAATTAGAAGAAGACATAAAAACCTTTAGATCTTTAACCAATCCACACACAAAAAAAAAACAGCTGGATTGGGAGACTGTCCTATAATGTCTAGGAGTACCTTTAAAGGGAATGTATAGCGGTTTTGTATATATTTTAATTCTTTATCATGGAAAGACTTAAAGAAAAATAAATAAAATTGACCCTAAACCATTATAGTTCACCACTGCTCAAGAAAAGGGAAATATTGATATTGGTTAAAGGGAAAGGGAAAGTAGTCATTACCTGCTGGACATAAAGTGTTGTCATTGTAATTACATGATTAATGTATGAGCAGCAGCCAATCTCCTCTACATTGGACAGATTTCTGGGAAAAGGAGAAAAAGATATTAGAAGGATTTTCACACTTATTTACCATCTACATGTGAAACTCGAATAATTAGAATATCATGCAAAAGTAATTGCAGTAAGTGCTGCAAAAGGGGCCCAAACCAAGTACTGAGTACATATGCATGCTTGTACTTTTCAGAGGTCCGATATTGTTCTATGTACAATCCTTGTTTTATTGATTGCATGTAATAATCTACTTTTTTGAGGTTGTGGATTTGGGGTTCTTGGGGTTTTCATGAGCTGTAAGCCATAATCATCACAATTATGACAAATCACGGCTTGAATTATCTTGCTTTGCATGTAATGAGTCTATCTCATATATTAGTTTCCCCTTTTAAGTTGCATTAGTGAAATAAATGAACTTTGCACGATATTCTAATTATTTGAGTTT